TAACAGGAAAATAAGTATTTTTTTTATTACGTCGGTAAATACACCTTTGCCTTGTCGACAATCTCATCAAAAGAAATGCGAGGTATCAGCATTTAAGCTACGTTAAAATTCAACTCTGGCATGTGACTGAAGGGCACTCGTGGCTATGTGGCTTAGTAACTAACGTGTCGAGACTCCGTTCTGTACTACCACAAGTTGGGTCCCATTCCCTCTGGCGGAACTAATTAGACTTAAGCGAGATCTAATAAAACACAGACCTACCTTTGGGGAAGCAAGACTATGTGAAATTCAATAAAGACATAACGCCTACTCACGTTATTGTGGGATAATTCGACTATCAGTCCTGTATCACCTCAAGCGAAATACGGCGAACACATCTCATATTTCTGATTCACTAGTAGTCTTGTGATTCTATTTGCAAACGAAAAATAGGTTAGAATGACTTCAATCAGTCCAAGACAATCAAAGGTCTCTGATGTCATAACTTTCCTCCCTTTTGTTCCTCTTTAAGGATTTGCTGTAGCATTTCAATTTCTTTCTTTCGCTCCTGATTGCATTCGACACAAAGTTACTGTCTCCTCAATTCACTAGTCAGCTGCGATTGAAATTCACTTCAGACTGGAATTTGGTTGTATGATGGAAAGGGTTTGTCTCTTCGGGCAGCGGTACTGTTGTGCTAACATATGGCAGGATGCGTTCCAACCTCACACACCTCGTACCTGTTTAAGCTTCTCTTAGAGACGATCACTGTCTGTGGTTGAAGCCTTTTGCCTCGGCGGTGTTAACGCCAGAGTGCGGCACATCCACATTGTCGCTGCATTTAAATGTAAGTGTGTAACTAAGGTATCAGTAATTCCTGAAAAAGAAACTAGTCGCATTCAGTTGTTCAACACGATGCGAGGACTGATAGCGAAATTCCACTATTGTTTTGACGAACAGTTTTCTCATCCAGGCTGGACTGCAAGTTCTTTCTCGACTCTGTCTCATCAGCGGTCCCATCAGGTGTCAATATCGGGTTCCTTGCATATTGCATTTTGTTGTGGGTTGTCCTACTGGCACCACTGCTTGTGCAACAGACTGATAGTGTGTAGGTACCATGTGCGTGGACAATCCGTTTTAGAATCCAGCCGAGAGTGAGGAGATTTCGAATATTTTGGAAGACAAAGCCAAGTGAACTTCATTGGTATAGCGAGGTATAATCCTGGAAATATCTCGGAAACCTCGCACCAAGCAAGAGTCTCTCTTATTTTACCATCTCATCTTGATTACATTTACCCTTCTATCGTGTCAGCATGTCCGGCCAGACTGGCTGTCTCATTCCGATGCGGTTGTCCGGCACATCGGGTACCGCCATGGCCGAGGTCGACGCCGCCATTGCTGCCGCCGTCTTGTCCGCTTTTAACTCTGGCTCCGTCACGGGAATACAACACCAACACCAGCATGGGCCGACCACGGTTCTACCGACAACCATGGCAACTCAGGTGAGCTTAGCTCTGCTTTCTTACGAAAACTCGAAGTTGAGTCACACTCCGATCCATACTGTCTTTATTGCTCCTGGTCAAGGGTACTGGCTAAGATACCTAAAGAGTTTCACAAATTGGCATTCTGCTTTAGTCATTGGGTACTTTCACACACTCGAGAATTTTACTGTAAATGGTGAAGCTAATGAAACATCCCATTTTGGGTGATTTTTACTTTCTTCCTTAGTCGCATTTGCTATTTCGTAATTGGCGTTGTAGTAACGCTTGGTACAGAGTACATAACCCTGGT